GGGCAGAGAGAGAGGGAGACACAGAATCAGAAACAGGCTCCAGGCTCTGAGCCATCAGCCCAGAGCCCGACGCGGGGCTCGAACTCACGGACTGCGAGATCGTGACCTGGCTGAAGTCGGACGCTTAACCGACTGCGCCACCCAGGCGCCCCAACCCAGGCATTTTCTATGGAAAGAGAGCTAGAGATACAGCCTTGGGAAATATTAGGCCACAGATTAAATGCAGGAGGATACACTGACAAAAATGACAAAGTAAAATATGACATGATAGCAAAAGAATAGAGGGTTTAATTTTAAAATAACCGTATGTTCTCATTTAATGGGAAGACTAAAAGCATGACCCCCCTTTCTGGTCCCTGAATAGATTCCTTTTGCCGTAATGAGTATTAGATCTGCATACTGAAGACCTGCTCATCAAGAAAAGACAGGGTGCTACTGATTATAACATGTTTACAGAATGTGTAATTCATTTTAGGAAGATTTCCATGAGCATTAGAAAACTGTTCCGTAAACATAAAAAACGAATAGTACTGGGTTACTAGGGCATTTGCTAATATTAAAAACCCCAAGAGATTGTTCTTTTCTACTATTGTATTTAAGATGCTTCTTAGAATTTTGCCTATTTTGCTTAAGCGATTACTAGTGTCTAAGAAGCGTCACAACGCTATTCCAGTCTGTCCACTATTGGGGTAAAGTCTTCCTTTGCACTAGAAAAAAGACTAATATTTGTGAAACTACTTTTCTTTTTTGAGATTCTTTTCTAGCAGCTATGTCTTTGGTAACCCAAGGAACACATTTGCAAGATGACTGATCGTGTCAGTGATGTGGTTTGTGGTCAGAAGTGGAACTAGACTTTGAATGTAAATGGGGCACAGCTGCCACATTTTTCCAAAATAAGAAATCTAGTAAAAATGTCAGGCTTTTTAGGAACTATGTACACGTGGGACACTAAGGAAGTACTAATAGTTCTCTTCTGGTTTCACAAAGAAAGTCACAATTATTTATACTTTTCAGAAAACAATGATGTAAATTGAAGCAATATTACCAAGGCAATACATTATAAAATATGACACTGGAATAAAATACAACAATTGGAATCAAAGACTATATGGGCTTTCAAGTTGATTTTCACAGGTTATAGCAACACTGTCTAAAATCTGGGCATTTTAGGGGCGCCTGGGTGGCTCAGTCAGTTAAGCGGCCGACTTCAGCTCAGGTCATGATCTCGCGGTCCGTGGGTTCGAGCCCCGCGTCGGAATCTGTGCTGACAGCTCAGAGCCTGGAGCCTGTTTCAGATTCTGTGTCTCCCTCTCTCTGACCCTCCCCCATTCATGCTCTGTCTCTCTCTGTCTCAATAATAAATAAACATTAAAAAGAAATTTTTTTTTAAATAAAATCTGGGCATTTTAAAGAACTGCTCTGTTAGAAATTACATTTGCAGGAGCAGTTTTTTGTATGTGACTTACACATTTTATAACTGTAAGTTTGTACCTTTTGTCCTTCTTCACCCATTTCACCCCCCACCCCCTTCACCTCTGGCAACTACCAGTCTCTTCTCTGTATCAATGAGCTTGTTTTTGTTTATTTTTTTAGATTCCTCATATAAATGAGATCATATGGTATTTATCTTTTTCTGTCTGATACATTTCACTTAGCATAATGCCCTCAAGGTCCATCCGTGACACAAATGGCAACATTTCCTTCTTTTTTTTTTTTTTTTTAAGTTTATTTGTTTATTTTGAGAGAGCAGAGCATGTGCAGAGCCAGGGCAAAGAGAGAGGGAGAGAGAAAATCCCAAATAGGCTTTGTGCTGACAGAGCAGACTCAAACTCCATACCATGAGATCAGAACCGGAGCCAAAATCGAGAGTAGGATGCTTAACCGACTGCACACCAGCATCCCTTTCTTTCTTTTTTATAGCTGAATAATATTCTTGTGTGTGTGTGTGTGTGTGTGTGTGTGTGTGACAATAACATTTTCTTTATCCACTCATCTATCAGTGGACACTTAGCCTGTTTCCATATCTTGGCTATTGTAAATAATGCTGCAATGAGTACGTATCTTTTTAAGTTAATGTTTTCATTTTCTTTGGATGAATACCCAGATGTAAAATTGTTGGATCATATGGTAGTTCTATTTTTAATTTTTTGAAGGATCTCCATATGTTTTACATAGTATACAAGAGCAATTTTATGATGCTGAACAGATTTGCTCTTCTGCTAACACAGGGGAAAGAGGGAATATGTCCATACATAACCTTGTACGTGAATGTTCATAGCAGCTTTATTTGCATTGGCCAAACCCAAATGTCCTTCACCAGGTGAATAAGTAACAAACTGTGGTATATCCATACAATTGAATACTACTCTTCAATAAAAAGAGAACCATTGATAATGCAGCAACATGGATAAATCTCAAAAATCTCAAGTAATAGATTGAGTGAGTGAACAAAGCCAAAATGAGTATATACTGTGGAGTAAAAGGAAGACTGGTGGCTTCCTGGAGGAGCAGGAAAAAGGGGGAGGGAGAAATTACAAAGAGGACCTAGAAAACTTTTGGCGGTGATGGATATGTTCACAAGAGTAACACACATGTCAAAACTTACAGACGGGTGGTTTATTATACGTCAATTATATGTCAGTAGATTGTGAAAAAGGAAAAGCAACACAAACATTGTTAAAATGTCTATACTACCCAAAGCAATCTATACATTTAATGCAATCTCTAACAAAATACCACCAAAATTTTTCACAAAGCTAGAGCAAACAGTTCTAAAATATGTATGGAACCACCAAAAACCCAAAATAGCCAAAGCAGCGCTGAAAAACAAAAGCAAAGCTGGAGGCATCACGATTCCAGACTTTAAGCTGTATTACAAAGCTGTAGTTATCAAGACAGCATGGTACTGGCACAAAAAAAAGGACACGTAGATTGATGGAACGGAATAGAAAACCCACAAATGGACCCACAATTATATAGTCAACAAATCTTTGACAAAACAGGAAAGAATATCCAATGGAAGAAAACTGTCTCCTCAACAAATGGTGCTGGGAAAATTGGACACCGACATTCAGAAGAATGAAACTGGATCACTTTCTTACACCATACACAAAAATAAATTCAAAACAGATGAAAGACAGGAAACCATCAAAATCCTAGAGGAGAATGCAGGCAGCAACCTCTTTGACCTCAGCCGCAGCAACTTCTTACTAGACATGTCGCTGGAGGCAAGGGAAACAAAAGCAAAAATGAACTATTGGGACTTCATCAAGATAAAACCTTCTGCACAATGTAGGAAACAATCAACAAAGCTAAAAGGCAGCCTACAGAATGGGAGGACATTTTGCACATGACATATCTGATAAAGGGTTAGTAACCAAAATCTCTAAAGAACTTATCAAACTCAGCACCCAAAAAACAAATAATCCAGTTAAGAAATGGGCAGAAGACATGAATACACACTTTTCCAAAGAAGACATCTAGATGGCTAAGAGACACATGAAAAGATGCTCAACATCACTCATCATCAGGGAAATACAAATCAAAACCATGATGAGACACCACCTCACACCTGTCAGAATGGCTAAAATTAACAACATAAGAAACAACAGGTATTGGTGTGGATGTGGTTAAAGGGGAACCCTTTTGCACTGCTGGTGGGAATGCAGCCACTCTGGAAAACAGTATGGAGTTTCCTCAAAAAGTTAAAAATAGAACTACCTTACAATCCAACAATTGCACTGCTAGGTGTTTACCCAAACGATACAAAAATAGATTCAAAGGGGTACATGTACCCCGATGTTTATAGCAGCACTATCAACAATAGCCAAAGTATGGAAAGAGCCCAAATGTCCATAGACTGATGAATGGATAAAGAAGATGTGATATATACATATATGTGTGTGTGTGTGTGTGTGTGTGTGTGTGTGTGTGTGTGTGTAATAAAATGGAATATTACTTGGCAATCAAAAAGAATGAAATCTTACCATTTGCAACAACATGAGCAGAACTAGAGTGTATTATACTGAGCGAAATAAGTCAGTCAGAGAAAGACAAATACCATATGATTTCACTCGTGAAATTTAACAAAACAAATGAACATATAGGAAGGGGGAAAAAAGAAAGAGGGAAACAAACCATAAAAGACTTGTAATGATAGAGAACAAACTGACAGTTGATGGAGGGATGTTGGTGGGGGATGGGCTAGATGGGTGATGGTTATTAAAGAGGGCACTTGTTATGAGCACTGGGTGTTGTATATAAGTGATGAATCACTGAATTCTACTCCTGAAGCCAATACTGCACTGTATGTTAACAAACTAGAATTTAAATAAAAATAAAAAATAAAGGGCTGAGATTAACTGAAAAAAATAAAAGACAAATCACTCTCTTACCTACATCCTGTCCTCCCTCGTTCCTCCCTTTCTGAGGCACTAGTTTGGCCAGACCACAATGCCTGTCCAATCTGTGCCTGCACCAATGCAGCTATGTGTAGTTGGCAAAAAATAAACACAATACTGACTAGTGACAGTTGAAAAGAAGTTGCTTATAAGAAAAAGGCATACAGTACAAAGCCAGTTTTTTGTTCATTTTGGAAGATGAGAAGCCAATCTACTAAGTGTCAGCTATTTCTTAGTGGATGACAGGTAATTTTTATTTTCTTGTTTATATTTTGCCGTACAAATGACTTTTTTACAACTTTTATAATCATTAAAACGAAAAAGATCTATTTCTATTTTAAGATATCTGTCATCTCTACGAGATGTGTTTGGTCCAGACAACATGGGCCTGGTAACAAGAGGGTGCAGAGGGTTGATCTGGAGCATCAAGAGCTTTTGCATGTATATGTTTCAGCTGGTCTCATGTCTTTCCATACCATTTCCCCTGTTACATATAGCTAGAAGACGAAATTACAACATTACGGCAAGTTTTATCAGCAAAAGAAAGGCATCTGGTTGAAATAAAACAAAAGCTGGGCATGAACCTGATGAATGAATTAAAACAGAACTTCAGCAAAAGCTGGCATGACGTGCAGACCTCTACTGCGTAAGTGTATCAACAGAATTTTTAAGAAATCACTTAGCTTGCTGTCTCTTATCTCTTCTGTTGTTTTTTTTTTTCCTATGCAGCTGATTTGGTACTTATGACTAGGAAAAATATTTTCTCTAGCAGTAAAATAGATATGAATAATCATTAAATATGTTGCATGATGCAGACTCTATAGTTAGCTTCATGAAATTAAACTGTTCACCTAACTCCATTTTTACTCAGATGACTTTTATGGGTTTGTATTTTTCTCTTTATTTTATATATTTTAAGCATTTGTTAAATGTATTTTTTTCTTTATGTTTTCTCAAAAAATTCTAAGTGGACAGGTGACTTTTCCCCAGAATACTTGGCATTCACTACAGGTTTTGAGTTTCTGTGACAAATGGTTGGCAGTTTTAGTACAGACTTGTTGCCCATTAATTTAAAAAGAAAAGCTTGTACTTTTCATATTTTAGGGATGTGCTTTTCATCTCTACTAACTCTAGGGAAAATTTAGAGGGCTAAGGCCATGTAGAATAATAGAAAAAAAAATATATATATATATATGCATGTATATAAATATGCATATATATGTATATATATATGCATGCATATATATATACATATTGCTCTCTGTCCCTGGTTCCTGACACAGGGTCCCCAAATCCCTTGGAATTTCCATGGGGGTAGCAGTATCCTTTGTTCTAATGAGATGACCCCTGGTGGCTCTGGGATAGGGAGCTGGTCACTACAAAGACCAAGCCATGATTAGAGGTTTGGACTTGCAGTGCTATCCGCTATCCACTATCCTCTAGAGAAGGGAGAAGGGGGTGGAAATGGAGTTAATGACTGTATGATGGCGCCTCCATAAAAATCCCCAAAACATAGCATCCAGAGAGCTTCTGGGTTGGTGAACACATGGAGGTGCTGGGAGAGGTGCACCAGGAGAGAGCATGGAAGCCACACATCCCTACCCATGTACCTCGCCCTGTGTATATCCTTTATCATATCCTCTTATTTTTTTAAGTTTATTTATTTATTTTGAGAGAGAGAGAGAGAGAGCGAGCACGAGTGGGGGAGGGGCAGAGAGAGGGAGAGAGAGAATCCCAAGCAGGTTCCAACTCAGGGCCCGATCTCACCTTGAGATCATGACCTGAGCTGAAATCAAGAGTCAGATGCTTAACTGACTGGGCCACCCCAGCCTCCCCCATATCCTTCTATAATAAACCAATAATCTAGTAGGTAAACCATTTTCCTGAATTCTGTAAACCACTCTAGCAAATTAATTAAACTTGAGGTCATGGGAACCTCCGATTTATAGCCCATCAGTCACAAGCACACAGGTGATATCATGGACTTAGATTGGCATCTGATGGGGGAGTGAGAAGGCAGTGTTGTGACACTGAGCCCTTAACCTGTGGGATCTGACACCATCTTCGGGTAGGTAGTGTCTTAAACTTTAGGACACCCAGCTCTTGTCACAGAATTGCTTGGTGAGGGAAAAACCATGCATCTGGTGTCAGATGTGTTGTGAGTGTGGTGGTCATTGAGAGCAAAGGAGACACACAGGAGAAGTGGGTTTCTCCTGCTGCTAGACCACCAGAAATGTTTTTGGCTTTCCCGTTATCTTTTTGTCTGATATTAGGCAAGATACAGAATAATTTAGGTATTCTACAGCCATGCTTTTTATTGGATTACTTTTAAAATTACATGAAATATCCAGCTACTGGGTGCTTTTCTAATGATTTAAAATATTTTGTTTGCCAGGTGTTCTTGAATCAAAGGAAGTAAGTGCCCACCTCATGATGTAATTTTTCTTCTTTTTGTGAGTTGGGGGTAGAGGCTGGTGGAGACAGTTCTTATCCCTATCCCTAATGTTAGCCCCAAATTTGTGCCTGCATGTAATGCATTTTCTTCCATAGCATTATCCATTGCATGGTAAAGATATTACATTCCTAGTATTTTAGTGGGAATCAATTTTTTTTTCTTTGCAGGTACTTTTCTCCTGGACAGAGATAGGCCCTACAGTAGGAAAAGGTACCAGTGATGGACAACAGATACTTCAGTTTTGCTGGGGGCAGCTTTGTCTGCTGGTTACTGAAAACTAAGACCTAAGACCTTAGTGCAAGTGCCTTTGTATAAAGAGTTCCATCTAAAAGGAACTTGATGATTCTCCACTTTGCTTCCCCTAGTTTCCATGTAAAGGCAAATGTTTTTTTCCCCTATCACAGCCTAGTATCTACTCCTATGCTTGTGCACCCCAAGGGCTCATCCAGACAGCGTCAGGGCACAGCCCAGAGTAGGGCAGGATGGAGCCAGGGAGCCCATCAGGTTATCTCCACAGGCAAATTAACCTTCCCCAACCCGATGGTGACAATTATGGAAGAAGATAAGAGACCACATATTGGTGCTTATCAATTTAAAATATATATTGCAACACTATATGAATAGTCTCCTGTAAAGGACAGATGGATTTTAGGTACTAAATTAAATGAGCTTCTCTGTCAGTAGTTTTGACTTCCATCTTTGCCCCTCAGTAGCACTATACCAGTTAATGGCCCTGACGGAGTGAGCCTGAACAATCTCCATTTTCCTGATTGTGGGCCCTCTTGTCACACTGATCTGAACTTCCCTCTGGGGTTTAAGACCCAGGTAAGATCTTTCTGCTTGGCCTCCCTAACCATGCTGTAGGGTGGGCTAACCTCACGGGAGATGGGATAACTCTGGCCATTCTGTTGCCGAAGGGAGGAATGGAGCCGTGGATATCTGGCCAGAGGGTACATCAAGTCTGCCCTAGTTCTGATGGGGGCAGGGTGGGAATAAATAGTCCTGAGGCATGGAATTAGAGTGAGCAAGTTCAAGGAGGGTGGGTAGCCCCTTCCCACATTGGAGAATATATAGTCTCTAATTTTCTCACGTTTGAAAAACAAATTAGTTTTATAGTCAGGCGGTACACTTAGTATCGAGCTTTTTGTTGCATGAATAGATTTATTCCCAAGGATTCTGGAGTTGAAAGACTATCAGGGAAACACAGTTTGGTTTTTGTGTTTGTTTACTTTACAAGTAATTCCAGATAACCAGTTAAACAGTAAGTTATGAGAAGCGACATGAAGGAAAAGAGTGTTAGGGGGATGTATGGAGCAGGAGTTTGAGCCTTGCCTGGGGACTCAGGAAGGTTTTTCAAGGCAAGAGGTGGATGCTTCAGCAGAGCTCTGAAGGATGAGTGGGAAATCAATCAGGCCGGGAGAGGCAGGAAGAGCTCCTGGGGGAGGCACAGCCTGGTGATGGCCAGAAGGAGAGAAGGCTCCCTCTCCCCTGGGAAAGCAGTCTGGTTAATTAGTGTTGTTGACACAGCAGGGAGAAGTGGCAGAGGGGTGCACAGGGCCTTGTGGTGTCTGTTAATAGAGCTATTCTTATTCCACTGCCACTAGAAAGCCATTAAAGGGGTTGTGACAGTTCATTTACCCAACATGTCTTAACGTGTGCCTGCTATTAGTCATTATTACCCAGGAGCTAATCTAAGCTCTCGGGATGTAGGATTCAACAAGATGGACAAAGTTCCAACCTTCTTAGAGTGTTGAAATGGAAAAGAGCATGAAACCAGCAACAAAGCAAACACAGGAGATGCTGTCAGGAAGTACTATGATGAAAACAGCACAGGGTGATGGGCCAGAGGAGAGGGCAGAGGCACTGTGATTGAGTCCCGGTCAGGGATGTCCTGTCCTGGGAGGTTACTCTGAGCTAATACCTGAATGACTAGAAGGATCTAGTCTTGTGATGATGTAGGGGAGAGCTTTGGGGTTGAGACAAAATTTGCTGCAAAGACCTTGGGGCAAGAAGCGGTTTTGTACATGTCAGGAGCCCAAAGAAAGTGTGGTAGTGAGAGGGGCTGAGGTGGGAGTCTCGGGGGCCTCGCAGCCCATGTGGAGAAGGGGGGGGATCTTATTGCAAGGTTTTGGATGCCACTGGAGGATTTGAAGCAGCAAGTGATCTGTTCGAATTCACCTTTAAAAAAAAAAATCACTCTGGTAACTTTGTGTTATACAGATTGTGGAGACTGGAAAATCATTTCAGAGACTGTTGTAGTAATCCAGGTCAGTGAAGCTAGTGAGGAGCAGAAAGGGGACAGAATTGGAGGCCAGGCCAATGGGACTTCTCAGTGGTTTGGGGCTGAGACATGCAGGAGGTAAAGGGATCAAATATGACTGTCAGGTCTTTGACACGGGCAGCTGGTTGAGCATGGGGACTGTTTGCAGCAATGGGCATGTAGCATTGTGGCCAAGCCCGTGGACTATGGACTCCAATTGCTTGCATTGCAGTCTAGGACCCCTGCATCCATGAAATGAGATCATATTAGTACCTATCTCATAGGTACTAAGAATTCAAGGAGTTAATATTTGTTAACAGGCAGGACAGTTTCTGATGCTTTGTAGGCCTATTTGCTGTTCTAGAAAACAAGTCTGGGGGAGGGGGGGAGACCCAAGAATTTTGTTTTGGTGTGTGCTGACTGAAATACCCAATAGACAAACAAGTGCATACATCTAGAAGGCAACTCAGAGGAAGAGTCAAGGATGGAAATGGACATGCAGAGTCATCTGCATGTTGATGTCATTGAAAGCTGCAGGACTAGATGACAGTTATTCAGAGATTATTTAATAAATCTGGATGATCATGGTTCATGGTATGAACCTTACTTTGTACAGAAGAATCAATCCTTAAGTGGAAGGCATGAGTATATCAGTAACACGATTCCAGGAAAGCACCTTTCTCCCGCCCTCTTTTCTTGGCTGCTGACACAGGAGGAAAAGTCTTAATCACATGGTGGGGGGGTGGGGGAGCGGGGGGCAGGGCTTGGTAACAATCTATTTTCCCCTTGAATTAATTAAATCCCTGCTGTTAGTGCCATGTTACCCATTCTGGGACAAGATCTACACCTCATAGGATGAAAATTTTGATGTGAGAGAATGAGAAGCTGGGGTAAGGTGAGGTTGAGTAAAATTAAATTTCAAAGCACTAAA